TAAATGCTGTATTCCTGTTTATTATAATTACCTTATATCCAATTATATAATTTTAACTGATCATTAGGTAAACTAACTTTTTTTTCCCACTGTTCCTGGAGGTACTGTAATAACAGGTCGATGTGGACTGGATGGAGTAAGCTCCTATTCCATCTCCTAGTTCCAAAATCCCACTTAATATATTGTCCTCAGATAGAGGACATATCAGATAGTAAACTGATAAGAACAGATACTGTACTTTATCTTAGCCAAAAGGTCAAGAATTGATAGAAAACTAACGTTTTTAAATATTGCATAAAATTCATTTATATATTTAAACTACTTGATTAAGTTTTTTATAAAAACTCATAATAAAACTGTAAACTTTACAGTATAAATCCTGTCTTTTTATGTAGCAGTTGAGAGCATGGACTCAAGAGTTACAGGTCTAAATTCAAACTTGAAATACACCACTAGAGTATAAATTCCTGAAATGACTTAACTTTTTCAAATATTAATCTCCTTATTGGTAAAAGAATAAGAATAGAAACAAATATTTTAAATCTTTTCTTAATTCCTGACAACAAAGAATTCACAGACCATGAGTAAACAAGAGAAAATAAAAGTATAAATAGAAATAAGTAATTATTTCCTATATAAAGCTACATGATAATCACACACTTTGCTTTCTTTCTAGTAATACTGAAACATTCTTACATGAATAGGTATGCAATGTCATGAGGCCTCAGGGTAAGATAAGTTTGTTTCCATTCTAAAAATCCATGTAATAATTTACCAACATCAACAATTGTAGAAATCTGATTTTTATTTGTCCAAAATTCCAGTGATGACAGCACAATAGTAACTTTTAATTGTGAAAAGATCTAAAAAATAGAAGAGATAAAATATATGCAAAATTATGTTACCTTAAAATATCCTAAATAGTAATTTAATATTTTGACAGATCTATACTATGTTTTTATAGATAAGTTATTTATTCAGAAATGCCCAAGTTATCTAAATTATAACTTCAAAAGACTTCTTTATGTAATATGAATAGAAAAATACTTACCGAATTTACAAAGCCAATAATCTCGATGACTTTATTTGTGACTAGCATATTCTCAGAACCCCAGTAATCATACTGAAAAACAGAATTAATTTTACATTTAAATACAATTTGCTAGGTAGTTTCTTTTTCTTTTTAAATTGTGATTTGAGTGAAAGTTTACAAAGCAGATTGATTTTCATTCAATCATTTATACATATTTTGCATTATAACATTAGAATGTCCACAATGTAACAGATTTTCCCCACTGTCTTCTTGTAATTCTCATTTCCATTACTCTTTCTCCATTTCCATTATCCTTCCCTTCCTGTCCTCAGACCTTTATCCATGGGCAAATGCATCTCTTTTGACTTTGTATAGTTGGTTATTTAAAGGAGTGAATGCCTCACATCCTATAAACTAAAAAACTCAAACTCACTCACTGCTTTCCAGCCATAACGGCCTCTTAGCTGACCCTCCAGTGAGGCTTTGGAGGCTCTAAAATGCACAGGCAGAAACTGCCCATCTTTATACTGTGAAGAGACTGGTGGATTCAAACCATTAAAGAGGCACAGCCTTTCAGGTTATTTATGGACCTGATAAACACTCATCGCCATCGAATAGGAACCAACTCAGCATTGACCAGTGATGTGTGTTTGAGTGTGTGAAGAGAGAGAGAAATAAATGTGTATCACATATGTATACACACAGACACACTCATCCCAATGGTTTAGGTTCTCTAGAGAACTAACACTAAGACATCGACCCTCCCCCTTCCTTTCATTCTCCATTTCTGATCTTTATTACTTGCAAGCTTTTCAAATACTTTGTATGTTACAATGGTACATCTCTATGTCTATCTCCATCATGAAATTGTGTTTTCATAGCACCATCTTTTCCTCAATCATGGCACTGATATCTCTAGGTATAAATGCCTAGTTACAATGTACTAAATACTAAAGTCTCTGAACTATAGTAAAGGAAGCTCTGATGGCCTTATGACAAGAAGCTGATTAGCAATAACAAAGGTGGGCAGTTTGAGGCCACTAGCCGCTCTGTGGGAGAAGGATGGCCAATCTCCTCCCATGTGATTAACTGCCTCTGAAAATCCATAGGAGGGTTCGCTATGGGTTGGTTCTAAATAAATGGTACACAACGACAACAAAAACCCCAATGTTTTCTCTGAAGACATCATTAATGTCATAGATTAAATTGTGCCACCCAAAATACGTATAATAATGTCATGTGGAAGCTCTGTAATGATCTTCCGTGATCTAATAAACCAATAGTTAAAATAGGATTAAGGGTGGAATGTAGTACCCCAGAGTGCCACCCCAGGCCTAACCCAAACAAAAGAGAGTTTCCCTAGAGAAGCATTTTGTCCTGTAATATTTGTTATCTCACTGGAGGGAAGGCAAGAAAGCCAAGAAGGTGAAGTGGAGCCTTCACTATCATTATGTAAAAATTGCCAGAATTTAAATGCATCTCTTTGGACTTGAGCTACTACTGCCATAGGAAGAACTTTGACTCTGGAGAAGGCTAAGACACCTGGGAATCTCCATGGAATGTCTGGAAACAAGGACTTTCTCCTACCACCTACAGAGAGAACAGGCTTCCCCAAATGCAAATTCCTAATGTAAGAAAACAAATTTCTACTTGTTAAAGCCATCCACCTGTGATATCTATTATAGAAGTATTAGATAATTGACACAATTAATGTAATCCTTCTTTTACATTCCCAACATCTAGTAACACAGATGTAATATGGCTGATCCAAGGCATACTGAAAAACAACAACAACAAAAAAAAAAACAACCACTAAAGGATATGCAAATATATAGAATGATAGAGACAGAGATAAAAAGAAGGGATGTTTACTTAGCATTGTATGGCTTTCAAATTCAGAAATTTTAAAAACTTTCAAAATTTTATAACATAATTGGCACCAGTAGCCAGGAAATTAAAAGGCGCATTGCCATGGGAAAGCCTGCTGTTAGGGACCTCTCCAAAGTACTGAAAAGCAATGGTGTCTCTCTGGAGACTAAGGTGCGTCTGATACAGGTTATGGTCTTTGCTATCACTTGTTATGCATAAGAGAGTTGGACAATGACTAGGGAGGATAGAAGGAGAATTGATGCCTTTGAGCTGTGGTGCTGGAGAAGAGTGTTGAGAGCACCATGGACTGCTAGGAAAACAAACAGATTCATCCTGGAAAGGGTTAAACTGGGTGGCTCCTTGTAGGCAAGGATTCTGAGACTCCGTCTGACATACTTTGGACATGCTGAAAGGAGGGACTGGTTCTTGGAGAGGGACATCATGCTTGGGAGGGTGGAGGGACAGCGCAGGAGGGGAAGACCCTCTATGAGGTGGATTGATTCAGTGACTGGGGTAATCGGGATGGGTGTGTCAGAGACAGTACAACTGGCACAGGACAGAAAAGAGTTTAGAGCTGTTGTACATAGGGTCGCTATGAGTCACAAGCGACTCGACGGCACATAACAAAAACAACAACAATCCTGAAACAAAATTATTTTCATTGTTCTAACATTATCATTGAATTTATTCATCTTTACTAGTGATATCTCTATTTCCTTTTAAGTGTTTCCTTTGCCCTTACCTCTGCACTCTAAAAAACTGAATTAAATATGTTCACTAAGTACTCTCCTGTCTCTGATCTTCAACTGAGTTCCTGACTATCTCTGCAATCCTACAAGCAGAATTAGTAATGGAATTAATACATATTTAGTGTGGTATTTCAGAAGTTTAATAATCAAATGCTTGTCAGAATAAAACCTGCAAAGTATATTTTTATCCTTGTTTCCTGAAAACTTTGAAATATTAAGGGAAATAAAATCATATCTGCTTGGTTGCAAACTAGTTTATCATCCCATGATCCTTAAGTTCATAAGCCTTCAAATTTTTTATGGAAAATAGATTTAGAGGTATCTTTATATCAGATATAAAAATACACTAATACAAGTATATCATCAATAACTGCTGAAAAATACCCCAAAAACTTACTTGAAAATGTCCTATGTGGTTCCGCTATTAGCTCCTTTGTCACCAAAATGTTTTCTAGAATCAGGGATGCTTGCTTGCCAACAAACTCCCTACGTGACATATTTCACTTCCATGCTTCCCTTAAAAAAGACTTAAAAACTTATAGAGTTTTATCTCAACCAAATATCACCATTAAAAAAAATACCATGTAACGAGAGAGGTCCAAAAAGACATAAAATACCAGTAAAAGAATGAATATATTCTACAGAAAAGAACTAAAACATAACATCTGTATTAGAACAATTTTGCACATTTCGAAATTGTTTTTCCTATAATATGAGAGCAAGAATACTGGAGATTTTAAATTACTTTCTGGCTAAGGATAAGCATGCATTTTTACCAAATATTTAATAGAAAAAATAAACACATACCAAACTTTTGTCCACAACAATATACATTTCTAGATAAAGAGGATATAAATTTGGAACAGGTGAACTTGTCTAGAGAAAAAGAGAAAAATAACATAAAAGCTTGAAAATACACATAATAGGTTTTCTTTTTAACTCTTTGTTGTTGTCATTATTTGCTGTCCAGTCTGAGTGGCCTCATAGCTGACCCTCCACTGTGGTTTTGGAGACTGTAAATCCCATGGGAGGACAGTGTTCATCTTTCTTTCATAAAGCAGCTGGTGGATTTCAGCTGAGTGCCACTGGGCTGAAAGTACAACTCCTTAAGTACAACTTCTTATTTAATAGGCCACCGGAGCTCCCTATTCTTCATTAAAGCTCTAAGATAAATAAAAACTCAAGCAATTACTGCCCAGTCAATTCCCACTCATGGTAATCCTGTGAGTGTCAGAGTAGAAATATTTTTCATATTCTAAATATTTTTGAAAATAGATTTCCAACTCATCAGGAGAAGCATGAAAAAATCCTTGTTAAAAAAAAAATTAAGTAGAGGGCAAGCAAAAATGAAGTAAATCCTCAATGAGTTAGATTAACACAACAGACACAATCAACTCAAGCATACCAACAATCATAAAAATGTCAAGCAGCATTTTATTCTTTAAGTTGGGGCTGACTCAATAGCAATTAAGGTCAACGATAAAACTAAAAAGAGTCCAAAAATTTACTCACACATATATGAGCTATCGATCCTTGACAAGGGTGTTATTCAGTAGGAAAGAACAGTAACTTTAGTGAATAGCTTCGGAACAATGGGATTTCCAAATGCAAAAGAATGTAATTGAATCATGTATCATGTACAAAAAGTAACTTAAAATGAATCATTGGTCTAAGTATAAAACCTAAAAAAATAAAACCTCTCACACATTGTGAAGAGGGACTGCATAACAATGAAAGTTTTTTCTTTTTTCTTTTCAAGAAGAGTGCTTTGGGGGCGAGGGTGGGCAGGGAGAAAAGTGCAACAATGAGTGACTCTAAATCCTAAGTCTCTGTAAATTTTCATTAAATTAATAAATAAGTGTTTAAAAAAAAATCTCACACACTTCGGGAATATTGTCAGAAGCCAGTGCTTGGGGAAAATGACAACATTCTGGGAAGTCATTAGAAGAGAGGAAGACCCTCAAAGAGATGGAGGGCCACAGAGGCTTGAGCGCAGGGGAGATTATGTGACCGGAGTGGGATAGGGCACACTTTCAATCTGTTGTTCATAGGATTGCAATAAATGAAGGAAAATGCACAGAACGGGAAAATATTTTCACATCATGTATGATAAGGCTTTTTAATCCAAGAATATATAAAGAGTCCCTTTGATACAACAAAAACCCAGTTAAACATGAGCTAAGAGCATTCAAAGAAAACAGGCAAATAGCCAAGAAGCACATGAAAATACTCTCAAAATCACTAATCATTTTTAAACAAGTAAAGTTAAATCTCTTGCTGTCAAGTTAAATTTTGACCGCGGGCAAGAAAGCGGAATTGCCTCATAAAGGTTTCCAAGGCTGTGAATCTTCAAGAGCAGACTGCTTTAACTATCTCCTGTTAAGTAACCAGCAGATTCAAATTTCTGACCCATTGTAGTACCCAGTCCTCCTCTTTAGTTTTTTTTCAAATTAAAATCACAATAAAATACATTTTGCATAGGGGAACTATAAATACATTTTTTATTGGGGGGGCGGGGCTCTGGTGGCCTAGCAGCAAGAAGCTGCGCTGCAATATTGAAAACACATGGTTTAAAACAAAACAAAACAAAACACACATGGTTTAAGTCCACCAGCTGCTCCGCAGGAGAAGGCTGGACCGTCTCCTTCCGTGTGGTTAACTGCCTCTGAAAACCCGCTGGAGGGTCAGCTATGGGTCAGTTCCCATTCCATGGTACACAATAACAACAGGTTGGCTATTATTAAAAGAAGGGATTTAGCAAGTGACAACTAGGAATTGGGAAATTTGAACCCTGGTACATGCAAACAGTGCAGTTCCTGCAGCTGTGTGAGTAGGAAGGCTCCAAATCAACATGTGATCTACAGACTTTTTACCAGAGTGTGGGAGCCTTTTACTTGAACTAACACTCTCCCTTCACCCCCCCCCCATGGTAGCTTGATGTTAACTTTTTGAGAGAACTGTTTTCTGTAATGGCTGTACCAATTTTTATTCTAACCAGGAGTGTCTGAGGGTTCTTTTTTTTTTTTTTCTTTTTTTTAAATATTCACAATTGCTTGCTTTGATGCCTATGAGCTGTGGTGCTGGAGAAGAGTGTTGAATATACCACGGACTGCTAAGAGAACAAACAGGTTTGTCCTGGAGAGGGTAAAACCAGGCTACTCCTTGGAGGCAAGGATTCTGAGGCTTCATCTGACATACTTTGGACATGTTGAAAGGAGGGACCAGTCCTTGGGAGAGGGACATCATGCTTGCTTGGGAGGGTGGAGGGACAGCCCAAGAGAGGAAGGCCCTCTATGAAGTGGATTGATTCAGTACCTGGAGTACCAGGGGGTAGTTGTGTTGGAGAAAGTAAAGTTGGCATAGGATACAGCAGGTTTCAGGGCTGTTGTACGTAGGGTCGCTATGAGATGCAAGTGACTCGACAGCACATAATGACAACAACAATTAAATAGAAGCAATTATTGCTTTGAAAGTAATAAGAAAATATATACCACTCACCTTTCCACTTATATAAATATCCCTTGGTTCTGTTTCCAAGCTTCTGCTGTCTTCAGTAAAAATTGAATATTCTTTGTTTTCATTTTGAAATTTATAAAGAAGATGCTGAAATTCAACTGCTAATTCCAGAGGCTCAATTCCATAGGAAACATTATCAAATTGCAATATTCCTCTGCAAAAGTAAGCATAAAATTGTAATGGTAATTTAATGTTTTTAATCAAGTCTGTAAGTCTGACTGGATCCATAAGATTAAAAAGTAATAAAGACACAAAATCTTTCTGAGCCTACTATTTTGATCCAAATCCTTTGTTTTGGAGTTGATTCTGAAAAAACAAAAGATCTTTCCAATCAATGGAACCAACTACTTGTCTTATTTTTCTATTTTAATTAATAAAAGCAGTTGAAATTACCATAGTAACTGCTGCATATACTAGTATATAGCACTATTATGATACAGTAATGCCTCTCTTTCCAAAATCCAGTATTCAAAGTAATAAGTAGAACTCTAAGATGGTTCAGGCTGAAAGTCAACTTGGGTGTCCATAATTCTTATTATGCTCTTATGATGCAATCATCCTCGTCATGATGCATAATATAATACAATCAACTACTTCCATGATGAGGTCCACTGTGATAAGACACTAAGTTGAAAGGGAGTTACTTCAGTGTGTGTTGCTGTTATTAGGTGCTGTGGGATCAAGTACAATTCATAGCAACTTTATGAGGAACATACCTAAACTTTGTCCTATCCTGTGCCATCCTCCTCATCTGACACACGAAAGCCCATTGCTGCAGTCACCATGTCAATACATTTCATAGGAGGGTCTTCCTCTCTTTCACTGACACTCCATCTTTCCTAACATGGTACCTCATTCTAATAAATAGCCTCTCCTAGCAACAAGTCCAAAGTATGAATGATGATGCTGTGCCATCTTTGCCTCGAAAGAACACTTCTGGATGCACTTTTGCCAAGACATACCTATTTGTTCTTTTGGCAGTCCATGGGATATTCTCTTAAGTACTCTTAAGGTAACAACTCAAAAGTATAAATCTTCATCTATACTCCTTATTCATTGTACAGCTCTCAGATGCATAGCATGTGATTGAAAATACCATGACCAGAATAAGTCTTTAACATGATATCATTGCTGTTAGGTATTTTGGGGAAGTCCTTGAAAGCAGACTTGCCCAAAACACTATCTTCTGATCTCTTGACTGCTGGCACAATGAGTGTTGATTATTGATCCAAGTAAGAAGACTAGACTTGGGCAAGTAGCCAGCATCAACTATTTATCTGTTTTCCCTCAATCTGGGTCATACTTTTGACTCACCATAATCTGACCTCTATTTCTTTTTACATGAACTATCAATGTACCATACCACATGCTAATCTTGAATTCCTTAACTTACACTGTCATATGACCAGCCAGCATTGAGCAAACAAGTCAGTCAGCTCCTACACTTACCTGAGTCAAGATATGGGTCCAACTTCACATTTGACCCAAGGACTGGGAATTTGTTGGGCTCTACAACTAATGGGAGCCAAGATATCTATATGTCTAACTATATATTTAGAAACTGAATTCTGAACTCTGATTTTGAAGCCAACTTTTGAAGCTCCATCTGAAATACTTTGGGCAGAAGGGACCAGTCCTTGGAGAAGGACATCAGGCTTGGAAGGGAGCAGGGACAGGACAAGAGAGGAAGACCCTGGAGGAGATGGACTGACGCAGTAACTGTGTGAATTAGTACATCTATATATACATGCAAAGAACTATGTGTGTGTGTGTGTGTGTGTGTGTGTGCGCGCGCACGTGTGTGTATACAGGCATGTGTGCATATGCCCGTGTATATCACTAGCTTTACTTCTTAAAAGAACACTGGTTAAAATAAATTTTAATGACTTTCTGCCTGATTTCTGTTACTTTTGAGACATTATTAAACTGATTGTAAAACAAATTATGTAATATGAAATTGAATTTAAAAATAAAATTTAGCAATGAGCATGAAAAAAAGCAAGACATTAAGAGAAATATTTTAAAATGTTAGCAACTTGCATATTTATTTATCCTTGATTAGAGGAAATAGATGGAATTACTATTCCTTGAAAATCAAATCTCCAGTCCAATATTCAGGGTCCCATGGAAAAAACACTCAGGAATATATGTTTGTGAAAACAACCTATACTATATAGTAGAAAATTAGAAAGGTCTCTTCGCACTTGGAGGAGACTGAACTTTTCCTGGGGAGTTTTGAGATACAGATATAAGTTGAAGGAGAAAAAAAATGTTTATAACTAAATTAGAAATTATTAATTTATATATCATTTACTCTCTTGATCTTAAAGTTATTTTCTTAAGAAATAGGCATGACTTACATTTTTATATTTTCCAACAGTAGAATACTATCTGGCACATTCTTAAAAAAACCTTACTGCCATCAAGTCATTATAGAGCCAGAGTTTATACTCCAGCAGGATTTCTGAGACTGTAACATTGTTCACAAAGAGATTACTCAACTGTCTTCTACAGATTTTCTGGTGGATTTGAAACCATGAGTGAGATGCAGCCTTTGGGTTAGCTGTGCAACTCCTATAGACCATGCCCCCAGATTTCTCTAATAGGCAGTATTATAAATTCTCCTTTGTATGGAAAAATAAAAATAAGCTCTAGTAAAAAAAAATACCTAAGCTGAACTTGGCTTTTCCAACTTGATATGGTCAATTGCAAGGCTAGTGTCAACCATGTCCTAAACAACATGCCTCTGGAAACTCTACAAAGTTTGAGAAATGACAATAATTATAGAAAGGTTTCCGGTCTTTTGTTCATAGTCTCTATGACTCATGCTCAACTCGATGGCAGTCAACAACAATAGCAATAGCTTAAGAAAAAGTAAGGATATCAGTGCCCATCAACAAATGAATGGATAGAGAAGCTGTTGTATATTCACACACACTGGAATATTATGCAGCACTGAAAAATAAAGAACTCATGAAATATTATACAAAGTGGGTGGCCATGGGGGACATTATGCTAAGTGAAGTATCTCAGTCACATTACTGCATAATGCCACTATTATAAAAAAGGAGTGACATGGAGGTTGGGGGAAAACTAAGAAAAGAGGGGATAAATAATGTACATGGTATTGAAACAGACGAGGGAGAGAACTGTAAAAAAGGAATATATGATTAGGTATTATAGGCATGACAAGAGTCCAAAATAAGAGGTACATAGTAAAGTGATCTGGCGGAGGGGAACAGTGAAAGAACTTTTTTCCAAAGAAAATAGCAAACTGGAGGCAGGTGGGGCAGGGAGGACAGGGAGGAAAAAGTGCAAGAATGAATGAATGAATGAATGGAAATCCAAATTCTTTATAAACTTTCATTAAACTCTCAATTAAAAAAAAAAACACAAAGAAATAGTAAGGATATCACAGAACCTAAAACGTTAAACTTAAAAAAAACATCTCACATTAATGGGGAAAGTGGAGAGAAAGAAGAGAAGGAAAATTATGTTTAGAGTGTATCACCAAATGTTATGTTCAGAGTATGATACGGGTATTTTTCTCGTTTGCATTCTTAATATAAACCTAAAAAATTCACTGTGGCTAAATATGATGGGAAAGGTGGTCAGTAATCAACAATGAAAACAACCTCAAACCAGAACATGTGCTGAGTGTGACAAGAGAATTCGGATACCCTTCAACATATCCTTGGTAGTAGCAGTGAGGCTAGAAGAGAAAAGAGAAAAAAGGCAATATGATTAAAAGGAAATAAAGTTTCTAATATCATATTTTTTAAGAGAATTACCCTGGTCAATCATTTTTACAAGGCACAAATTCATATCACTGTGAGTAAACTGTCATTCAATATATTTTTTTCCTTTAAAAGTCTCCCCACAATTGCCCCTTCTATGTTAACTACCACTGTTTGGGATAATCACAGGGATTAATAATTAATATTATGCTTCAAAGTGTACTTCCATATTGTTAAATCCTAAATTATTTTATAACATAAAACTTGAGCTTTAGCTTGTATTATCCATTTTTACCAACCTCAAAATACAATTTTTTCATCTCTAATTCTGTTCAGCCCTCAACATTAGCTATTCCTGAAATCAGATGTTCTTTGACATCGAAAAAACTCATTACCATTAAGTTGACCTTCCATTAAGTTTTTGGAGGCTAATAAAGCACATGGGAAGAAATTGCCCATTTTTCTCCCTCAGAGCCACTGGTGTATTTAAACTATCAGAGAGGCATTACCTTTGAGTTAGTAGCATAATTCCCTACGACTAGACCACCAGAAGTCTCTTTGCTGATAGGGTTAATTCTAAGGCTTCAAGTTACTTCTCAGAAGGATTCTTTCCTAGCTACCTGTCATCCTGAGATAATTTCTTATTGTTCTGGAACCCAACTTCAGAAATATCGTAAATTTGACTATGAAGAAAGTCATATTATAAAATACATTTATCTTATTTTTTTAGTAGTAAAATAGAAAACATACTTTATTTAATGTAAAGAAAGAATAATACTTTGTCAGGATAATAAAAAGCTGAGTGGATAAATAAACTATGTTTCAATTGATTCTGTTTTTTATTATATATTCCTTTTTTAAATTTATTATTCATTTCAATGAAAATTTACAGAGACTTTGGATTTCCATTCATTCATTGTTGCACTTCTCTCCCTTCCCAAACCTCCCCCCTAGTACACTACCCTCTTGGAAAAGTAAAAGAAAAATTATTTCATTGTTTTACAATCCTGACCCCCCAGGTCGACTCCACTATACAGCCTTCATTTTGGACCCTTGTAATGACAAAAATCCCTAATAATTTTCCGTCTTGAGCAGTTTTCTCCCTCATCTGTTTCGATACAGTATACCTTATTGAATCCATCCTTCATAGTCTCCTCCCAACCCCAAGGTCAGTCCTGCTTCACAAGAGTGGCACCATGCAGTAATTGTCCTTTTATGACTGAGATAGTTCACTCAGTATAATGTCCTCCAGGGTCATCCATTTTGAATAATATTGCATGAGTTTCTTGTTTTTCAATGCAGCATAGTATTCCATTATGTGAATATACCACAGCTTCTCTATCCATTTGTTTGTTGATGGGCACTTAGGTTGTTTCCAACTCCTTGCTATTGTGAACAAAGCTTCAATAAGCATGGGTGTGCATATATCTGCTTGGATGTCAGTTATGGTCTCTTTGGGGTATATTCTCAGTAGTGGAATTGTCGGGTCAAATGGTATCTCTATTTGCAACTTTTTGAGAAAGCACCATACCGCCTTCCACAAGGGTTGCACAATTTTACACTCCCACCAACAGTGAATAAGGGTTCCAGTTTCTCCACAACCTCTCCAGCATTTGTTGCTTGCTGTTCTGTTTTGTTATTTTGAGTTGGGTGAGATGATATCTCATAGTTGTTTTACCATTCATCTATTTTATCTTCTCCTGGTTGTAGGTTTTTCAGGATACTTGGAAGACTGTATATGTTGTGGATTAGGATTTCTGGCATTCTTCCAAGATTTTCTTTAATGAAAATTATAGTCCTTGGTTTTAGTTCTAGGTCCATGATCCACCTTGAGTTGGTTTTTGTATATGGAGTGAGGTGTGGATCTTGCTTGAGTCTTTTGCTTCCCAACACCATTTGTTATGGTCTCTTTGGGGTATATTCCCAGTAGTGAAATTGCTGGGTCAAATGGTATCTCTATTTGCAACTTTTTGAGAAAGTGCCATACTGCCTTCCACAGTGGTTGCACCATTTTACACTCCCACCAACAGTGAATAAGGGTTCCAGTTTCTCCACACCCTCACCAGCATTTGTTGCTTGCTGTTCTGTTAAATTTTGCAATTCTGACTGTGGTAAGATGATAGTTGTTTTGATTTGCATCTCTCTTAGAGATAAGGATTTTGAACATTTCTTCATGTGCTTGTTAGCCATCTGAATGTCTTCTTTGGTGAAGTGTCTGTTCATATCCTGTGCCCATTTTTTCTACTGGATTATTTATCTTTATCTTGTTGTGGTGCTCAAGTATGTTATAAATTCTGGATATAAGTCCCTTATCTGATATGTCATTACCAAATACTTTTTCCCAGTTGGTGGCTTCCCTTCTTACCCTGTTGGAGAAGTTTTTGGATGTGCATAGGGATTTGATCCTTAGAAGGTCCCATTCATCTATTTTATCTTCTCCTGGTTGTAAGTTTTTCAGGATTCTTGGAAGACTGTTTATATTATGGTTAAGGATTTGTGGTGTTCTTCCAAGCTTTTCTTTAATGAAGCTTATAGTTCTAGGTTTTAGTCCTAGGTCCATGATCCACCTTGAGTGGGTTTTTTTTATATGGAGTGAGGTATGGATCTCGCTGAAGTCTTTTGCAGATACTTTTCCAATTTTGCCAACACCATTTGTTAAAAAGGCTGTCATTTCCCCACTTAACTGATGTCATCTCCTTGTCAAAAATCAGTTGACCATAGATAGATTGGCTGATAGGTTCTTAATGCTATTCCATTGATCTATGTGTTTCTTATTGTACCAGTACCATGCTGTCTTAACCACCATGACAGTGTGGTATGATTTTAAATCAGGGAGTGAGATACCTTCTACCTTTCTTCTATTTTAAAATAGTACTTTGCTTATTCAGGGCTTCTTTCCATTCCAAATGAAGCTGGAGATTGTCTTTTCCATCTCCTTGAAGAATGGGATTGGTATTTGTATTGGGATTGCATTAAATGTGTAAATTGCCTTTGGTAGTATTGCCATTTTCACAGTATTGAGTCTTCCTATGCATGAGCAGGGGATATGCTTTCACTTCTCCAGGTCTCTTTTTGTTTCTTGTAGTCACGTTTTGTAATTTTCTTTGAATAGACCCTTTGTGCTTCTGGTTAAGTTTACTCCCAAGTATTTAATCTTGTGATTAGCTATTGTGAATGGTATCATTTGTCTTAGTTTTGACTCTGTATTGTCTTTCTGGAGAAATCCAACTGATTTTGTATGTTGATCTTGTATCCTGCTACTTGGCTGAATTGGTCCACTGTGTCCAATAGTTTTCTTGCTGAGTCTTTAGGGTTTTCTAAGTGTACTATCATATCATGTGCATAGAGAGATAGTTTTACCTCCTCTTTGCCAATTTGGATAACTTTTATTCCCTTCTCTTGTCTTATTGCTATTGCTAAGACTTCCAATACAATATTGAATAAGAGAAGTAATAGTGGGCATCCTTGCCTAGTTCCTGTTCTTAAACGAAATACCTTTAACCCCTCTCTATTGAGAACAATGTTAGCTCTAGGGTTTGCATAAATACTTTTTACTATGTTGAAGAAATTCCCCTCTAATCCTATTTTGTTGAGTGTTTTAATCAGGAAAGGGTGTTGGATTTTGTCATAGGCCTTTTCTGCATCAATTGATAGGATCATGTGGTTCTTGTTCTTTGCTTTCTTAATGTGATAAATTACATGAATTGTTTTCCTTATGTTGTTGAAC